ACGTTTGGCTCTAAATTGCACAGATTTGAGCCCAGGTGAACCAAAATCACTATGATCGATCATTATCCACCCCTTGAACAAGGATCCATGATAAGTGGCCAAGAACCTCCACAGCGCCACCTATATTCTTCCTAGAGTTATATCTCAGTGATACAACATCCGATCTGAACCAGATTTTTGGTGCGTAATTACTGAGAACTGATGGACATTTTAGTTTTGTTGTTTAATATTTGACTCAAGTGCGACCCCTACATTATTCAAACTGTTTTGTCTCAGTGATATATCAGCCGATCTGCACCAAATTTATGGTGTATTATTATTTAGCCCTGATGGACACAGTAGTAATGTTTTTTAAATTTTGACTCTAGAGCGCCCCCTACAATATTCCAACAGTTATATCTCAATGACATATCATCCGATCTGCACCAGATTTTTGGAGCGATATTAGTAAGCACTTATGGACACATAAGTATTGTTTCTTAAATTTTGACTCAAGTGCGCCCCCTAGATTATTTAATCAGTTATATCTCAGTGATATATCAGCATATCTGCACCAAATCTATGGTATATTATTATTTAGCCATGATGGACACATTAGTAATGTTTTTTAACTTTTGACTCTAGAGCGCCCCCTACAATATTCCAACAGGTATATCTCAATGATTTATCATCCGATCTGAACCAGATTTATGGTGTATTATTATTTAGCCCTGATGGACACATTAGTAATGTTTTTTAACTTTTGACTCTAGAATGCCCCCTACAATATTCCAAAAAATTTATCTCAATGATATATCATCCGATCTACACCAGATGTTTGGTGCGCCACTAGTAAGCACTTATAGACACATTTGTAATGTTTTTTAACTTTTGACTCTAGAACGCCCCCTACATTATTCAATCTGTTATATTTGAGTAATACATCATCTGATCTGGACCAGATTTTTGGTGCATCATTATTGAACACTGATGGACACATTGGTATTGTTGTTAAATATTTGACTCAAGTGCGCCTCCTAGATTATTGAAACTGTTATATCTCAGTGATATATTAGCCGATCTGCACCAGATTTTTGCTGCGTCATTATTGAGCACTAATGGACACATTTGATATTGTTTTTTAAATTTTGACTCTAGAACGCCCCTACATCATTCTAACAGTTATATCTCAATGATACATCATCTGATATGGACCAGATTTATTGTGCATGATCAGTGAGCACTTATAGACACATTGGTATTGTTCTTTAACATTTGACTCAAGTGCGCCCCCTACAATATTCCAACAGTTATATCTCAGTGAATTATTATCCAATCGGAACCAGATTTTTGGTGCATAATCCATGAGCAGGCCTAAACACATTGATATTGTGGTTTAACATATGTCTCAAGTGCACACCCTCTCATACTGATATGGACAGATGGTGATTGCAAAGTTTAGGCATATGCGCCCCCTGGTGGACGCGTGTGGGAATGGCATGAGAGCTTTCACGACTGGGACTGGTAGGCATTGCTGGAGAGCCCGTGGTTGCGGCTGATGTTGAAAGTTCAGCGAATGCGCACTCCAGTCAAAGGGCGCGTGATGGGAGCAAGAGTGTTCGCGATGGAGACCGGGCGTCATTGCTGGAGCCCCGCGGTCGCCGTAAGGCCAGAGAGGCGCTTTGATGCGAGGGCCTTCAATGCTGCTTGCAGCTTTAATTTATGTTGTGTTCTTCTTGGTAAGCACTTTGGTAACAACTTCTGTTTTAAATGTGCTATACAAATAAACTTGACTTGACTTGACAGTTGATGTGCATGTTAAACTCTTGTTGTTCAAAGTACATACAAATAGGTTTGGTACAAGGTTCATTTGTACAGTTTAATCTGTATTTCTTGTTTGAAAAATAAATTAAAAGAAGTGTTCTTGTGATGGTGGAGTGACCTTCTGATACAAACTGCCTGTCATGCACCACACAGCAGGCAGGGGGCACAATTTAGCAGCAACCCGACGGCATGCGTGCAACCTAGCAGGGGTGGGGGTGGGGCACCGTTGGGGTTGCTCGCCCAGAGCGCCAAATAGGCTAGGACTGCCACTGGACCCTGTAGTTGTAAAAAGTTTAGTGAGGAGTTTGTGGAGGTGAGCTGACACTTTATTTAGACGTTTCTCCTGTATTCCATGAGCACAGTGAGGTAAGAGACTTGTGGTTTGGTTCATGTGATTTTTCTACAGGTAAGAGAAAATACAGTGGTTTGTTTTGTTTGTTGTTTGGGCCTGAAGTTGGTAAGACTCTACAAAGTTAATAATTTAACTATTGTCAATAAAATCACAGTTTTATCATATAATCTGACTTGGTGGCTGCTTGAGTGGTGCAGAAGGTGGAATTGCCCATAATTAATAGCGTCCCGGCGGCTGTTATTGCGCTGAGGTGTAACATCACACAAACACTCCATCCATCTGGTCCTGGCCCGGCCCTTCGCTCCAATTTTAGAACTCAATGTGGCCCGTGAGTCCAAAAGTTTGCCCACCCCTGTGCTAATCACACTGAAGAGTTAAATGTCAGCACAATGATAATTTTGTCCTCGTTTTACTAAAACAGGAAAATCCTTTGACGGTATAATTTGGTCCCTGTGATGAAGTGGTACCTGTCTAGGTTGTACCCCATGTCTTGTACAGTGACTGCTTAAAACAGTCCAGAAGCACCAGAACCCATAAAGGAGAAGCAGCTAAAGCAAATGGATGGTCGTAGACAGTTTGTATGACCAAGAGGCTCTTCTTTCACACAGTGTGGCGCGTGATAAATGACCGTTATCAGTAAAATAATAAGTATATTGCTACAATAAAACTAATTATTTAATATAATAGACCAAAGACTTAGTTTTATCAAATATTATTTTGAACTCAGCTGTGGTTTAATTTAAATAAAAATACTGCACGAAAACAACACATTTTCCTGTAATATTCTGAGGTATGCACAATATTATAAATAATTTTATTTGTCTTCTAATTAAAGATATACTGTAATAACTTTTCCGTTGAGTTTTATGTGTCAGTTCCTCAGTTTAACAATCTGGAGGTCATTATTTGAAGGTTTCCAGTGATGGAGAGACAGATCAGTGCTCCTGGTGCTGATTTTGAAGAGTTTTTCATGTACATTTTCTTTTTTATTATGAACAGACACATTTTCGATTCAAGCTAAAATTGGAGGAAAGAAACATATATCAAAATGGAAAGGCACAAAATAAGTGCAGATGATTCAGAGAAATTGGCTGCCAAATGGCGGCCACAGCACGGGAGGACTTTAACAAGAATTTAACAAGATTAACACTTTAAAGCAATTATGTGTTTGCTCAAAATTATAGCAAAGGTGTGTCTCAGTCTAACTTTTAGACATACATAAAGGCACTTTGACGGTCAAATCAGATGCATTTCAAAAGCCGATACGCGGAAGTAGGTGCGTGCACGGGAGGACTGGCTGTGCATTTCTTCGAAATTTAACAAGATAACCACCTAAAAACAATTATTTAGTTGCTCAACTTTATAGTAAAGGTGTGTCTCAGTTGAACCTTTACTTAATAAAATGACTAACGGTCAAATCAGCTGCATTAAAGAAGTATTAGCCGCCTCAGTGCTCCAGGAGAGCACAGACAGGGGAAATCAGGAAGGAAGAACGCTGCACATTTCTTTAAATGCACATTTCTTTTAACAAGATAAGCACCTAAAACAATTATTTGTTTGCTCAATATTATAGCAAAGGTGTGTCTCAGTTGAACTTTTACTTAATAAATGTATTTCAATGGTCGAATTAGCTGCACTTCGCCAAGGTGGCGCAGCAAAATGAAGCTGATTTGACAGTTGCTCCAGGCGAGCTGGACAAAGATGGCAGACTGTCAAGCTGATTGTGTCATTAATAGCCACGTTTACCTATTACATGACACAACAGCATGCCATACAACTCGAGTGCCATCTAGCGGCTGAAAATGGCAGTGTTCAATTTTTTTCAGTCAGAATGAATGAAAATTGTGATATTTCAGCCAAAATTTGGTTTATAAATATAGGGAAAAAATCCATAAATATGTCGCCTCTGCCTATGTCACAGGGCATGCAAATTATGCAAAAAAACATGACTTATAGGGCAAAAAATACAGTACATACATATATATATATATATACATATATATATATATATATATATATAGATATAGATATAGTTTTTTTACAAGCACGTAGATGCAGGATATCACATCAGGACTCCCAGTGAAAAGTGGTTTTTAATGCTGTTAATTTTCTCAAAACTAAATTTTGGAAGCTGAAATTAAAATTGTTGTTAATTAAATGTATCTTTAATGAAAAATACCCCATTTTTTAAATTATAACAAATGTATTAACACTATTAAAGAACAGCTCTTAAGTATTTATGTTACACAAATATTTCCATTGCATTAAAGAGACAAATTGAAGAACATTATTTTAATAAATATTAGGGTTATGAGGGGGTCCTTGAAACATTTTCTCCCCTGTAAGGGGTCCCTGAACCCAAAAAGCTTGAGAACCTCTGCTTTAAAACAAACTTAAACAAAAGTAAAGAAGTTACAAATTGGACACTTTAAACAAACTGAACCTCAGTGACTGAACTGCAGCAGGGTGGAACTGATTGAAGCAACAGAATAACAATTTTTAACTTTATCATAAATTACATTTTTGTATTATGTTAAATATAATTATTAGAGAGAAATGTGAATCAGCAACTGGCATCAGCATGCCAGTGCTGTAAAAAAAAATTGGAAATCAGTATTGGCCCAGAAAAAACATAATTGGTGCATCACTAGTTGTAGTGTCATTTTTATTTTGCATTTAAGAAGCTGGCAATAAATTTCAACTGCTTCAACATTTATTCCTCCAACAACTTGCGTTATTCAAAGCAAACAGAATAAAATAATTTACCTTGCAAAAATGTAATGAGACTGCGGCGTATAAAAACGGTGATGTAGTGAGTGAAGTGTGCCATGTCTGTTTAACGTACAGCGTTCAACAAGGCTTCAGGGCTCCTCCCCTCCTGTTCAGCAGCAGCTCTGCAGATCGCCCTCTCAGTGTCCTCCTGCAGGTGTTTGAAGTCATTTGTAGGTGATGGCTGCTCCATGTACTCTGGATCCTGCTGGGGTGCTTTAGGAGGTGAAAACGACAAGCAAACAGAGGCAGAAAAGCACAAGCTTTATTACCCCGACATCAAGAGTCCTCATATACCATTTTGACAAAAAAATATATATTTATTGTGACTTTAGTTTAAATTTTGTCACATGCCGAAAAAAACAAACAACAAGAGTACCCTTAATAAGCTGTTGACAAACTATTATACAGAAATCTATAGGAATGGCCCACAGACCTGGTATAACTTTGACCTTGAACTTAGAGCTGGGGCGATGAAAAGATTACACAATATGTCATCTAGTGGTTGTACAAAGTTGTATGGAGTTTACATGAATTATCTTGAGCAGATCAAATGTTATGGGTGGGACAAGCAGACCTTCTGTAACCTACAATTTGTAACATTGACCTCAGCGCTGGAGTGATGAAAAGTGTACATAACACTGTTCAAAGAGGTCGTGGATGGTGTTTGAAGTTCATACACCTTCATAGGTGTATGAACTTTTGGTAAATTACCTTGAGTGGATCAGAAGTTATAGGTGAGGCAAGAGAAAGTTTACAAAAGGGAGACGACTATAACATGTTCCGCCTTTGATGGGTGTAAAAAGGAAGTTTACCAGTGTCCCCTACATGTTGAAATGAATATCAGTAACAATTTACTGTGTACTTTTACCCATCATTGTAGTGAAGTAAACTTTATTGTCAATCAAATCTTGCAATAGTACCATCAAAAAAAGTTAAGTCTGGTCCTCTGGACATAAAAAAAACCAAAACAAAAGAAAACAAAAGAAAAAGTAGAAACGTTTCGTCTTTCATCCAAAGGACTTCTTCAGTCTGAGGTGCTGTATTCAGCTCAGTCTCTTAAATAGCACCTTCTCAGAGTGGATCAACCAGTTTTGCTGCTGACAACCAAAACCAGCTGATCACATGCTCAAGAAGGACCATCAGCCTAACAATGGATCATTAGCACCTGATGGCTGTTTACTGTTCACAGAGGGCTGAGTGATACTAGCAATCACAGCATTGTAAGAGGGGGACAGTTGAACCCGGAGGCTCCACCCCTGTTTAATGATGGACGGTTTCTTTACACAAAGATGGCCTCCTTTTTTTCATTCAACCTTTATTTAAACAGATGAATCACAGTAGCTATATTTACATGCGCAGAATTCTGTGACCGGATTGAAATGTGTTCTGTTTGAATAATTCAAATGTATTGTTTACATGGGCACAATCTGTTCATGACGAGCGTTTACCTGCAGCGGGCTTTGTTCTGAACAGCAGTACTGACATGCGCAGAGTGGTAAACTCTCCTTACAAAAACCACCGAAGAAGAAGTTCTACTTCCGGGTGAACGTAAACAAACCTGAGCACCCAAAATGGACCCGCGACAGGTTTTAATGATGGTGGAGACGTTGCTGCACGCCCTGACTGAGCTGCAGGTAATACAGATCATTTTGAGCTCTTTAAAAGTTTCTAGTAGAAATGTTGTGTCGCTCACCGACCAGTTTTGCTTCCCTGACATGCTAATATTATTAGCATTAGCCAGGCGGAAATGGCAAAGTCGCACATGCGCAGTCAGGTCAGTTTTTCACCATCAGATAAAAACGAACAGATCAAGTGTTTACATGCGCACCGATCGGGTTTCGGATCGGCGTAAACCACCCGTTTCGTTCTGATCACAAATTATATCGGATCGCGCCGAATACACAAAAAATAACCCGAACGGAGTGTTTACATGACACACTTTTATTCTGACCTGCCATTTGATCCGGTTACTTATGTCCTTGTAAATATAGCTATTGAGCCTCGAAGACTCATGTAAAAGTGAGACCTGTTTGGACAGACAAAAACAGTGGTTAACTGGACACGTAGGAGTTGGAGGCGAAAAAAATTCCTATCAGACTTTTTTCTTGCCTGAGAAAAAAACCCTCTAATATAAAAAAAAAAACCACCTCGCACAAACAAGCACACATTTACGTAGACATTCTGCAATCGGAGACGAGAGCGGTCAACAATGTTCATAGATGCTCTCGAGGTCACTGTAATCAGTCAATGTCCTCCGGTGAGATCCATAAACATTCTCAAGGTATGTCGAGGAATGGCCAAGAATAACATCTATGAGAATCCAAGAGTCCTGAAATGATGACACAAAGTTTATTCAGCTGGTTCATCTGGTTATCAGTTGGAAATTCCTCAGGGAGGGGGTGGTGAGCGTCAGATCACATTTTCTCCAGGCAAATTCAGATAAGATGGCCTTCAAGACCAGCCAAGGGAACCAAAATTTAGATAAACACACAGTTGTTTTGGGGACAGGCAGGACTTAATGACATCTACCTTGAGTCTGTGTCGGTCAACTCGGTTCCGAAATGTCCAAAATAACATGGCCACACCGATGGAACGTGACTGAGTAAAATCTCCAAGATCTGATCCATTCAGCCCAAAGCATTTGAGTCCGGGTACACGAGACATGAACCAAGCCATCAAAAAGGTAAGCAGCATGATCGGGTCCAAATTTGCTGCCAACAACTTCCTCGATTATTCCTCTCTCAAACCATCGTTCCTCTCTATCAAGGATGTGAACATCTTCATCCCTGAAAGAGTGACCGCTGGCCTGGAGATGAGTGTAGACCACAGAGTCCTAGCCTGATTATGTTGATCTTCTGTGCTGGGCCATCCTTTTGGCCAGTGGCTGTTTTGTTTCCCCAATGTAAGACTGATCACAGCCCTCCTGACACTGAACAGCATACACAATATTACTCTGTTTGTGCCGGGGGACTGGATCTTTGGGATGAACCAGTCTTTGCCGTAATGTATTTTGGGGTTTAAAAGCCACTGGGACGTTGTGTTTAGAAAATAAACGTCTCTGTTTCTCTGATACTCCCTCAACATATGGAATGACCACTGGTCTGGGTCTGGGTTCCTCCTTTTCACCTGTTGGCTGACTGGAGTCCTGTTTGGGTTTCTTCTCTGCTTTCAGGAAGGCCCAGTTAGGATATCCACATTGCTCTAGAGCCTGTCTTGTGTGGGATTTCTCCTTCTGCCTGCATGGCTCCTGAGCTACAGCATCTCCACTAGCTCAGGCCTCAACAATCACCTGGATCAAAGACTACCTGACAAACAGACCACAGTTTGTGAGACTGAAGGGTTGTGTGTCTAACCAGGTGGTCAGTAGCTCAGGAGAACCACAAGGGACTACTCTCACCATTCCTTTTCACTCTGTACTCCTCAGATTTCCAGTACAAAACAGACTCCTGTCATCTGCAGAAATATTCAGATGACTGCAGTGGTCGGGTGCATCAGAGATGGACAAGAAGCTGAGTACATGGAACTGGTGGACCGCTTCGTGGCATGGTGTGGAAACAATCATCTCATCTTGAAAGTGAACAAAAAAAAGGAGATGACTGTAGATTTCAGGAGAATCAGGAACAGGTCCAACCCTATTTCCATCATGGGAGAAGAAGTGGAGGTGGTGGAGAAGTATAAATACCTTGGAGTTCATCTGGACAATAGACTGGACTGGAAATGCAACAGTGAAGCCGTCTACAAGAAGGGACAGAGCAGACTGTACTTCTTGAGGAAGCTGAAGTCCTTCAACGTTTGCAGCAAGATGCTGCATATCTTCTATAAGTCTGTTGTAGAGAGTGTTATCTCTTCTGCCATCATCTGCTGGGGGAGCAACACCAGAGCAAGTGACTTAAAAAAGATCAACAAGCTCATAAAGAAGGCTGGCTCAGTTCTGCGGACTCCTCTAGAATTTGGAGATGATTGTTCAAAGAAGGATTCTTCATCAAATGAAGAACATTATAGACAACCATCAGCACCATCTTCATCAGACTGTCATACAACAACAAAGTGTCTTCAGTCAGAGGCTTCTTCAAATCCGTTGTAAGACAGACCGCTACAAGAGATCCTTCCTACCCACAGCCATCAGCATCAATAACAACTCTTTAATGAAACCAGGATGATGAGTTACAGCAACATTTAATTTACCTCTGGGATTAATAAAGTATTTTTGAATTGAATTGAATTATCGGCACTGTTCAGAAAAAAAATATATATATATTTTTTAATGTACATATTTGTGTATGGTACCGGTAAGTAATGAAGCATTCTGGGGTTCATTGTGGTTGACTGTTGGTCACATGGCCTCAAGGAGGGATTATGGGTAAAATGTATCGATCCATCCATTATCTTTACCTGCTTCATCCTTTTTGGGCCAAGGGGGTCACTGGTGCCCATGTCCAGCAGTCACTGTGCGAAAGGAAGGGACACAGGTCTCCAGTGTCCATCACAGGGACACACAGAGACAAACGAGACAAAAAAAAATACTCTCAGTGTTTCCCCTAGATAGCTTGCCATGGCGGGGCGCTCATCTGGTCTGTGATTTTTGTTCGCGCGGAAGGGTAATGGACAGAGACTTGTTCTAAGCTCTGCAGCGCGCTATTTAAACCAACAGTTTTAGAGCAGGGTGTGTGAGAGGAGAGAGACAGAGACACATCTCAGCCACATACTGTCTAAACCGACTGTAGTGGACTAGGCCTACGTCAAAACTAAGTCTAAGGTCAAAACTCTTGACCTTAAGAACCTTGTGGGACAGAAGCTGTCATTTCATGTATTTGAATCCATAAATACAGGTTCACCCATCCTGAGACTTTCTTTCTTGAAGATTCAAGTGAAAAGAACACTCTCTTTTTTATTATCATTACTATCTTACAAATGTTGATAATCAAAGTGTCTTAGTTCAAACCATTTTAGATGTTGCAGTGAACTAATCAATTTTATTAACTGAGTAATGATTTTTATTCTCATGCAAAGTTAGAACTCATGTTAAAAGCTGTTACAGAGTTTATGCATTTTCTGATTTCTGCCTTTGAATGAGCAAGTGTGTGCGTTCCAAGGTTGGAGTCAAACGAAAAACAAGTTGTTATGTTAAAACTGTCATGTTTTAGAATCCTCTCAGACGTAAATATAGATGTTTTGCACCTGTTTCTTAAACACGCCAAAACAAAACTCTCTCT